ACTGGAGGTAGGATGCTCCACCCTTCTCCCAGGTATGAAAATAAAAGGCAGTGGATAAAAAGGGGGGCAGCAACCCAGTATGGCAGATGGAGGGGACCTGCGCCCTGCACAAGCAGGGAATGCTAAGCTTAGCCACAAAGGTCTCACAACAAGCAGGGCCGCTACTGTCTCATGGCAGCAGTACATAAAACTGCCTTTGCTGCTCCTTATCCATTTCCACTGGGTGGGCTTGGTTTCCAGACTCCATTAATCATTCTGTTTTGCAAACCTTTAACCTTCACATATTAAAACACACACACATGCACACACACACGCACAAAACTGAAACATGCTGGAGTTGGGAATGACAGATTTGTATGCCTTGAGGAAACACCTAATTCAGATGCCTTTCAAGGGACAGCTCTTGATTTATATAATTACACAGATTCATTCCATGGGAGAGCTGCAATCTAGCTCTTCAAGGAAGGGGCCTGCGAGACAGGACATGTGGACTGCTTTTCCTTCTCTCTCACTGATTCACAGAGCCAGCCTGAAAAAGTCACTTGTTCTTGTAATGCCTCAGTTTACTGTTGGCACCACTGTGACATCACTGTGAACTGCTACATAGTTCATAATAATTACAAAAGGAGCATTATGAAGTCACTCAGCTCAGAGGCTGAAGCTTGCAAACTGCTGTCAGCCTCTGATTGTGACAGTAGCACTCTTGTGCTGGGTACCATCCAGCTACAATGCACCTACCCTGAGGAGTCTGTGAAACAAGACACACACGTAGGAAAATGCACGAAGAGATGCAGTTTGTCCATGTCAGCATGGCAAGCCAGTGGCACATACAAAAATGGAGCTGCTGCTTTTATGTCTTGCGTAGCTACCCTGCTTTTGAAATGCAAAGGGTTACTCCCTGAGTATTCCAGATGAGTGGCTTGCACAGTACTAATGCTTCAGTTTTAATGAACTGCTCTGTGATCTACTTGTGCTGCTTTTAGGCCATACAACCCCGTTCCAGCCCATGGAGTCAGATTCACCCCCAGCCCCACAATTTTTTAAGCTGGATCAGGAGACCAGTCTGGTTCTGATCAAGGTCCTGCAAACAGCTGGGTCAGCACAACTGAGAGCTGTCACGGGGCTCAGAGGGGAGTGACTGGCACTGTCACAGAAGTACCATCTAATCAAAACATGGCCTCTTAGGGTCCGTGTCAGATGCCTTGGCATTGCTCAGAACAAAGCCAGAGCATATAAATGACTCAGTGTGGAGACATCATCCCGACAATAATGGGATCACTACCGCACAGAGAAGGGAATCCTGCAACAGTGAAGTGCCACATCAGCACCCTCAGTATGGGCCATTAGCCACCTTTCTCCACCATTCACTACTTGCCCCTTCTCAGCCCAAATGTTTGTTCTATCAGGAGGCATAAAAGGGACATGAAACCTAAAGTTTTTCAGTTTGAACTACCTAAGACTAGTACTTCAGCGCTGCTCAGGCCTGTGCTCTGTAAAGAGCTTCAGGCTTTTAGGTCTTTATTGTTCTAAACAAAAGCTTTCTGGTAGTGGTGTGCCTCATTATACATTGGGAAACATCAGCTCTTGGAGGAGAAACTCTTGAGCAAGTCACAAGTCATCTCTAGGTCTTAGTTTTCCATCAGTAAACTTGGTATCCATTTGGAGGAGCGCTGTAGGGCTCAGTTTGTTAGCCAATGGAGAGATGATTGCACAGTATCACCTTTGCTTCTCAAGTTATGCTAATCAGCTGAGCTGTAGCAACTGTACAAGCTCCTAACCTGATTAAAGGGCTTTCATGTTTGCGACCTTCCTGGCACCAGCATGTTTTTCAGAGTGGAGAGAATGGGGAGATATTTCAGTTATATATTGCAATTTTATATTGTATATTGCAAACATTTTATTAAGCATTTGGTTTTGGGGAGGATGGGGTGATGAGGCCATGAGACAAGAAGATTCAGTGAAGCAGAAAACCAAGAGTCCCCACATGGCTGCATGGCCTCCATCTGCTAAGCAGTGGCATGCATTGAGGCCTGGAGTGCAGCTTCTCAAGTGGGAACTGGGAAGGAACACACAGGGCTCGGCACAGGACTGGCACAGGACTGGCTGCAGGGAGTAAAGATTACTAAAAAGGTGGCAGCTTGGCAGTGTTATAATAATCACTTGGACGTTGTTTCAGAAACTTGATGCTTGAGGGACCTGCACCCCCTCTATCCCCTATTCCCAGAAGTCTGTCTCCGGACACTGTCGTCAATCTCAGAGTTCATTTCCTGGTTAAACAAACAGCAATTAAATAACACAAGACAGGCAACGCCTAGAGACTCTGTCTCAAACTCGCCCTAGACAGGCCACGTGACACTGGGGTCCCTGTGTTTTGTCTCTTGGCTAAGACAAATTAATCATAAGGGAATTACAGAGCACGACAATGTGTGTATGCAAAGGGAAAGTGGGCCTGGCCTGCTGGGGAAATGCACTCTGCTTCTTGGCAGTGCGGAGCCAGGCTTGTCCACAGAGGACGTGTTGGGCAGCCAGCATTGGGCCAGGTGACCCGGACAGAAACACACCCCCTTTCATTTGCTCTGCTACGCCTGTGTAGAGAAAATGAGAGAGAATAGAAAACTCAGTGCCTCGACTGTGTTCCTACAGCAGTTGGGACAGCCAGGAGAGGCACATCATGATCTTCAAGAGGTGTTCACGAAGTGGAACCAGGGGGAAAGGGGCAATCAAATATTTGCTCCCAGCAGGAAAGTGAAACTAAGAAAAAAATGTAAGATCTTTCTAGTGCACCCTATTAAACTGTAGTATAGTTCTCCAAAAGTAAGTGATTCAAAGCATGCGCCTTGGTACCCATCAGCTGAAAGGAACAAAGCACTAGGGGACATGCCCTCAGACTCCTGGTGCTAGAGGACAGATGGATTAGACATCTGAGACTGATGAATAGTTCACTCTATATTTCCTTTGGCTCTTGCAATCTTTAGTTGCCTCCCAGTAAAAGCACACAGAAATAAACTAGAGATGAAAAAAACGTCATTGTGACACTGTTCATTTTCTGTACGTGAAGCCTCATTCATTTAACCCATCATCATCAGGGTTCAAGGACTTTTTCACTCTCATTCGCTATTGATCAGATCTTAATCCTCCTTGGGGTCCATCGCCCCCAGGGTGAAAACTCACAGAGCAGCAAAGGATCTTCACTCTCCTCATAGAAACTGAAGCCTTTCCTTTGCTCATGTGTGCAGTCAATACTGACATCTATTTGCAGCACGCTTTGACTGGCCCTTGGTTCCTCTGAAATAGGCAGTGGTGAATTCACTTGTTGGTGCTTGAATTCCTTGCTTTTGTAACGAATGCCTAAAGTTATTAAAACTGGAATAATCTTAAAAATACAAATTCTGTTCCATCACATATTCCTCTTTTAATTTATGAGTGTTGGGCAGTGAAATTGCTTCAATTATGTTGCAGTTGACCTTGCTACTGGGTTTTTTACACTCCAAGTATCCACATGGCTGAATTTCAGCTTTTAGCACTTCAGGTAATGTTTCATTCTTTCCTACACTGTTTGCAGCTTACTGCAGGCAGAACCAGAAACTTTGGGAGGGGAAGAAGATCCTGAAATCCAGAAGGTGATCCCTCTATAGATACAAAAAGTGGCAGATGGTTCCCTGTGATGATGGAATGGGACTTTGAGCAACTCAGATAGTTCTATCGTGTGGCAGAACACCTGCATCCCAAGGGAATGCTAATGAGGAGGAAGGACAGAGAGTGAAAAGTCTATAATGCATTTAGGTTGAACTGGCTTAGATGTTTTTTACTGCTGAGATCTACTGTGTAAATCCCGATTGTGTATCTGATCTACCAAGTGTGATTTGGGAAGTCAGCATTTGTGGGAAGCTGAATTTGGGTTTGGGGTCCTATCAATACTTTTTATGAGGGGTCCCAATTAAGCTTCGTGTTCCCTGACCCCTAGCAGCCCTCTCATGCAGAATTTGTGGAGGAAATATAGCCACAGACTTCCCACCTGACTGTTATACCAAGGGACTCAGCAAGTCCCAGTCTCTCCTGAGTAGGCTTTCAGAAGCAGGATCAGTAAGCAATGGGGTTCCAGCATAGCTGGCCTGGCATTCGCCAATGTCGCAAAGTCTTGCTGCTGAACTCCTCTCACCTGAGTCCACTTTAGGTCACTGTGGGCTGCTTTTCTTTACTACTACTAGACTACTGTTTTAGTTCCCTACTTCACCACTGCTAAATAAGTCAAACTTTTCCCAGTAGATTCCTTTCAGTAATTATTTCCGTGCTCTGGTTATTTCTTACCATAAGGATGAATCATGAAATAGGAGCAAAATACCCTAATTAGCCACTTGCAGTTCAGAGCCATACACTTTGCTTCTTTCACAGTTTTCTGTGTCTTCTGAGATGCCTACCAGTTAAGTAGATGCCACTGAGATTTCAAACAATAATGTTGTCTGCTGGAGTACTGACTTGTTTGCTTTCTGAAGATATTTATGGCCATTTAGCTTAGACATTTTGTTTAGCATGCAATAAAGCCCTTTGCCCGATTTGCTTCCACAGGTCTCCAGCAGTCAGAACAGTTTGGAATATGACCATTTTGATAAAGAACTCCCTTTTCCATGTAATTAAGAGTACTAAACACATGGTATGAGCCTCAACAGCCATGAAGCTAGCCTATTCAAAGCTAAGCACTTTCTGCTTTTGGACTTGTAAAAATCAACAGAAAAGTTCTCTCCTCCTTCAATAAGAACATGTTTTTCAAACTCGACATCTGTCTTAGCAGCTATTATGTTGTACTATATTACTAGCATTCAAATTGCAGAAACACCCTGTCATGTAAAGGACTCCAGGACGCCAGACACTGAACAACAAAGAATAAAAGCCTGGTGACTATTTTTACTGAAGGAATATGTCAGTTCAAAGTGCTCTCTAATACTGCTTTACTTCTTGGAATGAGACATCTCTTAATTGTCCCTGTTTTTTGCTGCTGACAGAAAGAAGGCCAGTCCAGAGCTTACCTCATTGCCCAGGAGCTGATGTCTTCAGAAAAAGTGTGAGTTCATTGTTACAACCTAAAACTGAAGCTACGCAATCCAGCCTTCAGCATTGGTTTGACGGCAATTAATAAAAGTTTGTCTCTTTCCCCAGATACGTGGAGATGCTCCAGCTGTTATGTATGGTAAGTAAATAATTTTAATCACTGAAACCTAATTGTTCTTTTACTTAGCTGCAATTTAGAAGACATAAAAGCATTGAAGGGACTGAGGTGAATTTGAGGAGGAATGTCTTACTGTGAACCATTGCAAAGGAATATGTCTGCCACTAATCTGCTCTTGGTACAGATCCTCAAATCTAGCATTTGTCATTCACAGGGAAAAGTGTTGGCCAACAGTGCTTGCTGGGGGTCTGAGACTGGTGTAAGATGCAGAATAAACCTAGTGCAGAGAAGGAGACGGTGATAAACAGGGGTGAACCCTCTCTCTTCAGAGAGAGGCAGATAGGAGCAGAGCTATGAAGCATGGGGATTTGGTTTGAGTGGATTCACTCTGCTTCCTTTTAAGCTTCTTTTTTTTGATAGTGCAACATCACTAATATCCAGTGTGGCCTGGATATCCACACTGTGACACAGGTAGTCACCATGGGCAAAATACGGACTCTGGTGTCAGAAACTCATGAGGCAAGACACACAAAGAATCCCTTGTAGTGCCTGATAGAGAGCCCTTGCATGGTATAAACCCACTGGTGGCTTTGTCCCGGAGGGCTTTTTGTCTCTTTAACAGAGCTGTCACTGCTTCCCTGGAGAGTGGTTCACAGCTTAGATGATAGCCTCGCTCTCAACATCTTTCTTGGCTGTTAGTTGCAAGGCAGCAGGGAATAACAGCCACCACACAAAACATGCCCACTTCTGCTTGGAAAGAAATTCCCTGAGAAGGCAAGAAGTAGCCCCAGGTTGTCCTTGGAGGACACCCCAAACCCTAGCAGTGGACAGGAACTCTGATGGAGAGAAAAGTAATGAGGTCAGCGTTGTATTGCTGCCTGCTCGTTGTGCCTCTCAAGCAAGCTGCCAAAGCTTTTAAGAGCCTTCTCAGGCTTGGGCAGCAGAGGCAGAAGGGCAGCCTTAAATGTGATGAACACCTTGTAGACGATTGCATTTCAACAAATCAGAAACTGCCAAGCTGGTCAGCTGGGAACCAAACACTTTGAGAGACTTAGCTGCTTAGCTGGAGTCTACCAATATTTTGATAAATTGGTGATAACCTGCCTAGCCATTTGCCTCATCTGTCCTGGCTTTCCTATGATTTCTCCACAGCCAAACACATTATTTGACACTAGTGAGACACAGTAGTAGTTATCCATTGTCCCCTGGGGAAGCCGGGGTGGTTTCTTCACCTGTGGACTACAGGGCTTCTGATCATTAAGAATACCCACAGAGCTCCTTACTGAAATTAAGATTTCCAAAAGTATCATCAAGAAAAAAAAAGAGAAAAGCCTCTGCCAGCTTCTAAAAATAGAAGGGAAACATACACACAGGAAATTACCATGTGCAGAGAGTATTAGCCGCTCTGCACCTTCATTAGATGCATCCAATTAAAACATTCTTAATGTATTTAATTTTCCATTTCCAAGTACATTTGTACTTTGGTACATTATGGACAGCATGTAAATGCAGGGCTGAACTAGAGTGCATGTACAGTCCACTGTATTCAGTGGCGGTGTCTAGGAGAGGCCTCTCCTTTGCATTATATCTTAGCATTTTCCATATACCTCTAGGAGATAAAAGTGACTCACTAACATGGATTGAAAAATCTTCGATATATAGATCCAAATCTTGCGATGCACTTCAGTGCCTTTAGCCACAGCATGAATGGCTGCACACCCTCATGGCTGCTATAGCATCATGTTACTGTCAGGCTGCCTTGCCTATGCTGTTGCTGGGCCACGAAAGGGATGCTTCAGGACTTTCCCAGTCCCTTCAGGACTTACTTTGCCCTTTTCTCCTTCCTCTGGTAAATCCCTATGTGGTGAATTTGGCTCTCAGGCTATGCATGTAAATGAGTAATTTATGCATTTTCACAATAATCCTATTTTCTGCCTGTAGAAATCATTTGGAAGGAACAGGAAATGTCATTTTTGCTCTCTTTTCCAAGTTGACAACTTTAACATGGGACAGGGGGATTCTGGTTTATATCTTTGCTAAAATTTTTTAGTTTAGAAACACTTATGGAGGCAAGTGCATGCTGCTCCCCTCCAGCTGGATGGACTCCAAACTGTTGGTAATCCCTAATAAAAAGAATCTTCATAACAATTACAGCTCATAGGTTAGTTAGGGAAAAACTCTGCTTGATTGCTAATTTTATCTGCTGCAGTGCTCCAGAGCTGGCTCAAAGATATGAGGGAATGAAAACAGAGAGTTTTCCTGGCTTGACTCAAAAATCCTGCTCTCCTGTTGGGGAACTCAGACACTTTCTAAGCAGAAATGTTTATTATAGAAAAGAAGTAACATTACCTGGCCTGCCAGTCCTGGAATTAAGATTTTAAGGCATGAGGGAAATTGGCTCTGTTTTAATCATACTTAATCACTAAGTTTGGATCAGCTGGTTAATTTATCAGGGAAAAGATACTGGTAATAGCACTCCTATGACTGGGCAAGTTCTTCTACTTCTATCAGTCATCAATTTTAATTGGAAGCACTTGTTTGGTTTCTATATATATGTTTCAGTCCTGTAATGGAATATTCCACTGAATCCTATTTTGCTGGGATTTTGTTTCCCTGCCTGCCCATCCCACTGGAGTAGAGGGATATTATGAGTGTTTTGCATATGCTTGTTATTTCCTTAATTATGAAAGTTAGAGCACCAAAAGAGGAGCTAAAATTTCAGATTAAAATAAGAGAGAGCGCTCAAGTAAACCCTTGAATGAATGCATTGGTGTGCAAAGTTAAGCCTCTTACAGGTTGTGAAATGTCAGGATCACTGTAACAATGCACTCTTAGAATCATAGAATCATAGAATCGTCAAGGTTGGAAAAGACCCTTAAGATCATTGAGTCCAACCGTCAACCTATCACTGCCAAGTCCATCTATACCATGTCTTCAAGCACCGTATCTATCTGTTCTTTAAATACGTCCAGGGATGGAGACTCAACCACTTCCCTGGGCAGCCTGTTCCAATGCTTGACCACCCTCTCGGTGAAGAAGTTTTTCCTAATGTCTAACCTAAACCTCCCCTGGCACAGCCTGAGGCCGTTTCCTCTTCACTTTCCCTGTCCCAGTTCCCATTGTCTCAAGTTAGAAAGTTCAGAAAGATCTGCATCAATTTTAGGATGAGATTTTGGGTGCACAATTTTGATTAATGATTTTCTTCTGCAGTGGAGAAGTATCCTTGTCCCATCACCGAATGCATACACTCCTTTAGGGGCTACTGGACGCTTTTTTCAGCAGAGTCAACAAGGAAGTTTCTCAAATAAGATTTAATTGTCTCTATGAGTTGGCTTTCTAAGTAGTGAGGATGTGTGAATGGCACCTGGGTTAGAGATTGAGGGAGAAGAGACAAACAGCCAGTCTGTTTTCACACTTGGCTGCTAGTTCAGGCACTCCTTAGTTTAGAAGAGATCAAAAATCTTTATGGGAAAAGGATCAGAGGGTTCATTCTGTGTTTTATTGGGTGCCTATAGCCCTAGCATACCCCATCTCTACTGCTATAGGCTGATGTCTGCATGATAGCTACCTACTGCAGTGGCATTCAGAAATGATCTGCAGGTTTCTCTGTTGCAATCATGTTCAATTTAGAAAGCCATAGTCCCACGGTTCCTGTTACCTTTCCCACCCCAACTACTGTTGGATCTTTATATTCACCTGTCGCCCAGTGTATTATTCCAGAAATCTAGAAAAACCATTACCAATTTTACAACACGTAAGTCCCTCAGGCTACAGGGCTATTATTGCCTAACTGAGGCTTTTCAATACTGTCACAGTGCAAAAAGTTACAATGAACTAATTACTCCTTTATGCATATCTGAATAGCTTTAGGAATAGTCACATCAGTAAAAAATTGTGCTTCGCTGTGCACTCGCTGTTGACACAGGTCTCACTGACAGATGTCATAAGCAACCACCAGTGATCACAAAGTCACCAAACTGCCCTCAAGGTACACCACCCCATTCGTGGCCAGTTAGGACCAAAGGCTTCCTCGACAGCATATCTCGGCTCAGGCAAATATATCTCTTTGTTCCCCATCACCAACTTTCTCAAGGAAACAGTTTCTAAATGCTCATCTTCAAGTCTCAAGTCTCATCTTACATAAACCCACATGTCGGTAAGAAAGGCAAGGAACTAAACCACACCCTAGCTGCTTTCAGAAAGGAAAAAAAGGCTTTTCTTAAGCCTGCAGCAGGAGCAGTTTCCCATCTCATTTCCAGACTTGGCTGGAGCTGCTATTCATTCAGCATAACAGAATCTGTTTGGCCTTTCAGCAGAGACTTTAATAAATTGATTGATTGCCAAAACGATGACATTTCCATACACCCACTCTGCTATTGAACTGAAAGAGTGGAAACATTGTGTTAGCTCACAAACTTGGTATCAGTTGGTGTGGTAGTAGTGATAATAATCTAAAGGGTTAGCTGTTATTTGCCCTACTCAAAGGTAATGCAATTCTCTGGAGCAGGGAGTTAGTTAAGAACTCATTCTGGACTGAGCAGATGGGACTGGCAGGGCCTTGCAGTCCAAGTCCCTGATCTCTTGGTACTAACAATTTAGTTTTCCAGAGTTGATTAGTCTTTGCATTTCCTTCAGGATCATTTAATCCTCAAACTTTGTCATTCGTTTCTCCTATTTTTCTTCCCCAGTAACACAGGCTGCACTTGTTATCTTTTTCTTAGTGCTTGCTCCTGAACAAAAATGCTGCAGGTTGCTTTCTCAGGCTAATGTTTCACACATCACCTTTGAGGACCAAGAGTCTGGTTTATTTGCTTCCTTTCAGCCAGTCTGTTTCAAATGACTTTACTAGATGTACACAAATCAAACTTAGTGTGACTCAGACTGCCTCAGGATCCCAGTCTGTATGGGATCAAGCATTTGCTTGATAGTGTACCATGTTCACATTTATTTTGTCTTTGGCTCTTGTACATAAAATCACCTTTTTTGTGCATAAACCCCTTTGAAATCATTATTGCTTCCCT